TGCGAAAAAAAAGTCCGCAGTGTTTCCAAGTAAGGTTGAAACTTTATTACTAAGCAAAAATCTCACATACGAAAATTTCGTTTCAGTGGCACTTTAAGCAAGTTTCTGAATAAACCACATTAAGTAATCAATTACTATGGCATAAAAAAGAATTTTTTATTATATTCGACACTCATTCTGTGGATCTTGTATTTAGCAATCAACTTGCACTGAACAATGACTCAGCCATTCTCTAAGGGTGACTGCTTACAGTTTAATACACATTTGACTGTGCTACTGCTAACAGTGAATTTTCCTCTCTATGTGCATTATTAGATTAGGTCCTCAAGGGTTCCTTTTGCTGGTAATTTCCCAGGACCAATCTAAACTAGAGTGCTTGACCAAAATGATCACAAGACAGTCTAGTGAAAATTTAAGGTACACATTTTTGTGTCCATATATAGCTATCATCCTTATGATTGCAAGAAGTGGCAGTCATTACCTAAACAAACCTACAATGATAAGTAAAAATAAAGTAAATAGTCATAAGAATTGAAAGCAGAAGTATTCAAAGACAAACAGGACTTTTGATTTCATGTACTGGACCCAGACATTTCTCAGGTTTCCACCATTTGTGATTGTGGTCCACAGAGTATAAAATAATGCATGCTCATTGCAGACAGTCACCTTAATTCTAAAGATGACTTATCATATAATTTAATTATATTGAAAATGCTTGTTTTCTCTTTTGAGTATCTTTAAATTAATAGTCTTGTACATACTGTAGTTTTATCAAAATATTGATGAACCAATGTTGTACCTTTTATTGCCATCACAAACAGCCATTACTAGAGCTTCAACCATATGTGGCCAGCCAACATAGCAAGTTTCCCCCAGCAATTCCTTTGCTATATTTAAGGATGGTATCTGATGAAACAAAAATAATCAACTAAAACTTTGGAAACGTTTTGGAAACTCATAAGAAATCCATTACAAACCATTTGAAAACTGTTTAAAAACCTTTTGGAAACCCAGTTTCACGAAATTGAAACCCTTTGAAAACCCTTTTGAAACTCAGTTTCATCAAAAGTGCCATGTTTCATAAGACATGTTCTTGTATGGAGGGTCACATAATTATTTTACACCTTCAGGTAAGACTTTTAACATCATTAATTTTCATCTTGTGTATTATGCAATAGAATACCATCTAATGCAATACAAGGCATTTAGTGTTTATAATTTAGAACTTCACAACTTTGTCATGTTAACACTGGCAACAGAATTGTTTTGGCACTGAGATGTACATGTACTCACAAAAATCTTTCCAAATCAAAAAAGCAAACAACTAAATTACACAACTGAAAAATATTGTTTTCCCAATCACTAACATAAAAGATCAAGATCAACTACCAATAAATTAACACAAGGTTGTACAAAAAACTCTTGCACGAAACTTGTGCATGCTTATCAGCAATGAAGAAATCATGCCAAAGAAAAGTTTGTTTCCAAGTGTGGTCTAGTGATGAATTCATTTCACATCAAGAAGACATGAATCACCATCGAGCTCACGGACACTCAATGTCATATTAAAATTGCTAGAAGCCAACTTTAGGACAAAGAATGTTTCAATCAGCCTAGGGCAACACTAACAAACTGGCAGTGCAGCAGCTGCTACTTATAGTGTAGCGGCTAACATCATTTTTTTGGCAAAATTGTTCACTCAATGATACAAGCATGAAATTTCACAGAAATGTTCTAAATGAAGTATTCTTTCATTCTGATCGATTAGCCACTTCAAATTTGGCGGTATAACACTTTTTTTTACAATTTACTAAATAGGTGGTCTTTATCTCAACATGGCCGCCATTAACTTTAGGTATAGACTTAATTCGCAGCCTTATACAGGAGAAGTTGATGATGTTGCAGTACAAAAGTTCATTACCAAGCGAAGAAACTAAAAAAATACTATAGCTGAGTAGAAAACATTGGCTACCGGCAAAAATGTCTGCCTGCTATCAAGAGTCGCAGAAGAGGCAGCATTTTCATGGCAAGTGGAGCATGTCTGTAAGTATTTTAGAATTTTGTACTTAGGTTATTACGATAATAGATTTTAGTTTCAACCCACACATATTACTTGTGTTTTTGGTGGAAATGTTGACATATGTTTTAAAGATTTTTGCACTTTAAACCTCTCAGACGATTCATCTCAAAGATAGGTCTTCACATAGAAATGGCTGCTCTGAAATTGATAGAGTCTTTACTTCAGGACAGTGGTTGGACCAGTGCTTTTGTTGAGGCAGGAGTTGCTTCATCTGGTACTATAGAATCTTATCTGTAAGCCTCAAGTGTTACCAGATCTTGTCAAGCATATCATATCCCAGCATGTTGTCTATACAAGCAGAGGAAAGCTGCATATAATAGCTATAGCAGAGAAACATCTTAAAGTCCACAAGGTGTTCTTGATTTCGAAGAGTGGTGTAAGAAATGAAGACTCAAAAGTCCACAGTTCGCATTTTGTTTTACCTCTAGAGCTTACCATTCCAACATAGGTTCGTTCATTCAGAGAAGCCAACTTTTGCCTGTATCATGAGGCGCTGGCAGAACTTTTGCCCTATTTCTTTGCAAACAACAATGTGAATTATGTGTGGTGGCTTTAAATTCACTGCAGAGATATGATGACCATCGATCAACAACATCCAGATGTAACACAAATCTTGCAAAGAATTCTCGTCAATTGCAATCGACCAAGCCCATGAACAAAACAATGCAGTCATCAAGGATGATGGAGGAGCGATAGGCTTGACAGAGGACCCTACAGCACTCTGGAGGTGGATGATAGCTGGACCAGAGGTG